AAGCGTCACGATAAATGCAATTGACCTTCTCGCGCCCAGCAACCTTTGCATTAATTCCTTCTTACTTTGTTTTCCTTTTTTTACATCGAACGCCCCCGAAAAAATAGCTGCTCGTGGCAGAAAAGCCGCCCTCGTCGTGGGTTTTCAAGTATACAAAGCGCGGCGCGTCTCGTGTGTACGACGGCTGCATGTACGTGGCCCGTTGCCGCGCGCGCGCTTCGACTCCCGCGGCCCGATCGATGGAGGCGACGACGAAGCTTGTGTGCTTCGGCTTAACTTTTTGTGCCGCCCGCGCCTATATAGCAGGCATGTAATGTTTATAGGTCAAGTTTGAGAGATGGCGTCAATGTCGGCCCGAGATTTCTTTGACTCTCTCGCAGTGCGGTTTTGTTCGCGTGGCCGTTGCAGCAAGGATGAGACGATTCGCTCCACGCGCTTGAATTTAATAGCTCGTGGGAGGAGAGTCATTTTTTCGTACATGTGGATGTTGGGTGCGCGTGTACTAATTATTTTTAAGCTGCGAATGCCAAATCAAACCAGATGTCGACTCAGCTTGTTTAATTGGACGTATGCCTTTGTAGGCTTTGCCTTGTACGAGCGTGGACGCGAAAAACTCTGCTAGTAGAAATCGTCTTGTTTTACATTTGATGAGAGAAAAATAGGATATGTTTTATCAAAAGAACTCATGAAAAAAAAAACAACATCGATTTGCTTTATGTATGAAATACAGCTCACTACTTAGCGAGTATAATGTAAACACATCTCATTTATAAGAGAATTGGAAGAAAAATCTCGTTTGAGCGAATAGCATCGTAACTTGGCGAAAGTAAATTTTTTACGGAAAAACGAGAAAAATATTTGAATAGTTTCAAGCAAGCTTGTGACATTTTCAAATAATTTGAAAAATCAACATCTTTCAAAGACATGTTCAGAGAAAAATATTGAAAATTCGAGAGATCCTCTGACCAGTGCCTAACAGTTCTTTAAAGGAAGAACAGAACGAAGGAGTATAAAAGTAACGTACGATTAACAAACTGCTGTTAGCGCGTGACTTTTCATCGTGTTGCGAATTCTCCGTTCAAATAGACCGCACACAGACTCAGCTTTACAGACTTCTTGAGAGAGACAGAGAGAGAACCAGAAGAACGTCGCTAGTTTCTTGTAATTTCTCAAGCGCGCAGCTGCTACTGCAACATGGCAGGCAATTCAATCGACTTGTTTTTGCAAGCTCCCTCCCAAAAAAAGCCAAAAAAACCGTGGGATGGAAAGCTTTTTCTTCGCTTTCTTTAAGGATGTGTATATTTTTCTTTTCTTTCTCTCTGTCTCGAGTTTCCTATTGACAACGGCTGCCTTAGTGCTGTGCACTTTGCAAGGATACACGTGTTGCGATTAAAAAAGAAGCACCACAGGTTCTTCGTAATCATCTATATCTCAAACTTTCGTATTTCACGAGTTTTTCGAAGAATCATAAAAATAAAAAAAATACCTGACTTTTCTGTCTTGTAATAGTACCGTCCTTCATCATCGCGGCAGTTACAGCAATAATGAAAAATCGAAAGGGGAAAGAATAGCGGTGTGAGTTGGACAGCTGTCGCATTGGCCGCACGGACACGTTATCTCAATATCGCACGAGCCAATAAAGACACGATAGAGCAGTGAAGTACAAACGTGTCAGGTCGACATCTTCGACTTTTTCGTGAGAATCAGAAAGAGAAAAAGAGAAAGAGAGAGTGTGAGGAAGCAAAAATTTCCACCGAGCTTGTGAGAGACGATTCTGTCGTACAACTGTCCGACACGCACGACGTTAGATGTGCGGCATTACGAACACACTGAGCCATAAGCGTCACTTGCCCTGTGTCAGGCCAATGAAAAAAGTTGAACGTGCTACACGCGAGCGCGAAAAGTGTGCGAAGCTTAATAAATCGTGAGTTGTATGAATGTTTCTCGTGTTCACACGATAATACCCCGTTAAAGTCGCGCTACGTATTTTTTAATTAAACGAAGCAACATTATGAAGCAAAGAATTTTAGTGTCCATTATGATGCTGAAGCTGTTAATTTTTCATCGATGCATCGATCGTTTCGTTGCGTCGACAGCTTCTTTCGAGTTTCAACACCGTAGACAGAGTCCAAATCGAAAACACAAAAAATGTCTGTAACAATTATTGATTTTATCATAGCGAGAGAAGCAGCTGGCATTGCGCCAAGCATGAGCTAACAACTATTCGTATACACACAGGCTCGCGTTTCGACCCTGAACAAGAAAGAAAGTGTGTGCAGAAAGAGATGGGACACGCGGCTGGAACATGAACTTTTTCTTGGACGGGAAAGGGGGCGCTGGGAGGAGGGAAAAATCTGCCGTAGCGAAAGTTGCTGATAAACCTAGTTTATATTCCGCATTAAAAAGTTTTCCAACTAAGTTGTCATACTTAAAAGTTAAACGTTATACAGGCGGAATGAACCTTAAAATTTGCGCCTTCAGGCTCTGTGTGTCTGAAGTATTATGTATAAAGAGAAAAAGAGAGACCGACGATGCCGTATAGCGCGTATATTGTTATAAAGCTTTTAGTCTTTTCTCCTTTGTGTGCAAAAAGTTTTTTTTCTACCATCGAAAGAAGAGATCGAGACAATTTGTTGAAGAAAAAATACAATAGGCTGCGTTGATGGCAAAAATTCAAGTATACTTAGATAATGCAATTGAGCGTTCCTCACTTTAATAGAAACAAATTAGTTTTTGGAATACATATTTAATTCATTTTCCGAAAGTAGATCGAACTTTTTTGTTTTCACTATAGAAGTCATAGACATTCAAATGCGTATGTCATCGATTTTACTTTCAAGACAAGTTACCCTTAGACAACAAATGAATGACTATTATGTTACAGTCTGCATCTCTCAGTTTTTTATGACATAATGGTTTTTTATATAATTTTTATTTTATTTCGTTACAGTGGCTTCGTTGCATTAAAATATTTGATGAAATAGTTACACGGGAATGACACTCATTTGTCGCTTGGCACCTCCAAAAATTTTTTTCCGGGTTAAAACTTTAGGAAAAGTCTTTTTTTATGTTGTTTAATAACATATATTTTTTTCAGATTTTTTTGAAATACTGCCGCGCACACTTTTTTAAAAAAGTAGGAGAATGACCCATAAAGTTTTTTTAACCAGCACTTTACCTATCAAACAATTGAATAAAGAAACGAAAAAGTAACAGGCTTATATTTTAATACTAATTTTCTAATTATTTATAATAATAACGCAGTTGAACGCGATAAATATTTTTGTGTACGAATTTCCAGAGATTTCTAGGGTTATTGGTAGTTTCATATACGAAAACAAAAAATGTCCAGCACAAATTTTCCTTTGAATAACCAAACCCTTATATAACACGTAATTACTTCTATGATGTATTCAATTTTACGAAATACCACGCAACTGCGCAGGGGAAAATGCGTCCTAGTGATTTTCTTAATTAATCCTCGCTTCTCGCCCAGCACTCTGTCGATGCTATCTAACGCTATTCAGGTCATTCTGGGAAAAATATTGTAAAACGCGGGGAATATTTCGGGAAGTGCAAACATGTGTAAACAACGTGAGCACAATCATGGGTACTTCAATGTGTAAATATAGTTTATAGTTATATATATAATTAGTTATAGTTTATAGTTATATAGTTATATATATATTATAGCCCTAGTTAGATTATTGGTTGTTCAAGTGTAAAAATTTTAATTTGAATTAATGTAACGTTGGGATCATTTCTGATTACAACATTCTACCAAGTGGTCTCTTATATCACTTTCATGGGTACTATTTTCATAGTTTCTAAAGATGACTTTAGAAGCTATGAAAAAAGCTTCTAAAGTTCACCGATCGATTCCGATATATTAAACTATTAGAAAAATAATAAGTAAATCATAGACTCGAGTCGACCGGGACAGACTGATGAGTAACAGCAGAGATGAGCATGGTACGAGAAATCGCATATCTGATCATCAAGGAACACAATGGTAGTTCATCATCATCAACGCGTAAAATCATCGTATTTATAACCTTGTTAAGATTTAATAATTTTCATGGTTGAAAAGAAAGAAATAACGCCCCAGATATTCTCTCGGGTTACCGCCTGCAGCTGCTGCTGCTTCGGGCGCCACGACGTCGCGTCGCCAGAGCATCGCGACACGAGAGACAGCAGACACGCAGACCAACTCGAGGCATTATTGATCTTCCACTTTCTCTTTTTTTGCTCTCAAGCGCGCGCTTAGACTGATGACTTTAATCGAAAGCCAAACATTTTGAATGTAGTGTGTACAGTCTTGTGTGCGATCTTTGCTGACGAAACCACATTTTTCTTCAACATTTGAGAAAGATTTCTTTTACGATATCTAGAGTTAATAAAATAACAATTTTGTTAGCGTTATTCATTATGCTATAAAAACTGGTAATTCATAAGATTTTCTTTGCCAATGTTTTACATCCCTTTAACTTCATTTTTCTCATAAAACTACTACATATAAATATTTTCGTTTTTTTCCGAAATACAATGCTCAGAATTTTTTTATTATGAATTTATCAAAAAGTTAAATAAATGTACTCGCTACAAGTGAACTGCAGTCTCTACGTGTCTCAAGGGACATACATTCCAAACTTGCAAAACGAGAAAGAGAAACTCACTTCTCTCGTTTCTCTCTTCACTCTTATAGTTATCCCTCGACGTTTACGACTAACTAGTCTCGCATTTCTCTCACTTATCGTTCGCTCTGACCTGTTCTCTAAATTTTTTTCGTTTTTTATCGCGAAAAAAATGTATGGTACGAAAAAGAATTTTAGTCTCTCGTAAATGTAAAGAAATGTTAAGAAATATAAATGAGCTCAACGGATGAATAATTGAGAATAGTAATATAATCGAACAGATTTCGTCCCTACCTTAAAAAATCTAAGATTTTATTACATGATAAGGTATCTTCCATTGCACTCACAAATTTATTCATTTTACAGATACTTCTTTGAGGATCAAGTAAAAAACCAACGACAGCAACATGGCAGCATTTGTGGCGAAACAGATGGTCGGCAATAAGCTGAACGCCGTAAAAGGTAAAAAATCTTCAACATTTCACATTATAAATATTTTGAATGTATTGAAAATTGAAAACTGAGGCACAATTTGCAGCTGAAGCATCCAATCATAAAACGAAAAATTATACTTCAAACCAAGCTCACATTTAACTTTCTCATTAAAATGTCCCGAGTTTCTAATAATGAAAAATTAATGATAACCATCGCATTAAGTTGAATTCATATAAATTCATTAAAGAAAAACTATCTTTAGCGCTTGCCTAAGTTTGTGCATTGAGCTGAAGAAGATTCCGCGCGTATAAGTTCTGCAATAATAATCTGATACATTGTGAATAACATTTTTTTTAACGAAATAAACGAATCGAAATAATCCAAACATGTTTGATATTTTAAGTGAAACAGATATTAAAATGAGCTAGATTATAAAAGTATCATAAAGAGGTCAGAGCTCTTTAATTCACCCTAACGCTGCACGTTACACGAGCGCACGTACAGGACTCGGTGAAAAATTATCACACAAAAAATCCCATTCAGCCGAGGCGTTGTATAGATTTCTCTTTGATGCGTCGTGGAAACGATTGATGAGTTCGGTCGTTAATCAAAGCTCTCTTCGCATCCGGTTGTTTCGTGTGGTAGCAGCAGCTCGAAAGTGTGTCGAGCTCCAAACAAACAGAGTTGAAAAATACTTCAGAGCCTGTGAACTAATGTTTCTGCTATAAATTCTCTATGATTTTTAAGTAGAGCTCGCGATCTCTGACGTATATGAGAGTGATTTTGAACGAGCTTAACACAATGAAAAAGTTTAAAAAAGCTTTATTATCCAAAAACGTAATAAATGTTGGCCTTTGTGATATTTTGCCGGAGAAAAAGTATGCATATCCCTGTCAAAGCTCGGCTCATTCACATCAGTACATCCACGTACGCACACATGCGTGACGTCTCGTTGGAAGAATGGGGAATATATGTATTATATTATAAGGCCGAATTTTGAATGTCTAGCTCGTGGGCATGAGCGCACATTACGAGTTGAATAATAAACCGTTAAATGATCTGTCCGTTATTTGACCTTGGTGCAAACAATGGAGTCATTGATTTGAATGCAAATATAACAATGAGATAAGCGCTTTGTTGGAAGTATATTTTGAAAAACGCACAATATACATAAAAAAACAAAAACAAAAATCAATATTTTCAAAATCGAGTTACGTATAGTTCATTTAACGATGCAGTAATACAATATCGTTAGAGTTATGAGGAGCATGATGAATGACTTATAAAATTTGCCAAAAGTAACAATTCATGTTTTGTCGTACAGCTAGTAAATAACAGGCGATAATAAATAAAAAAAAACATTCACTTATTTATTTGTTTCGATTAACTTTTCTAATCAAAGAATGAAGTCAGTTTAAATGAGGTGAAAATAATTCAAGCTTTATTTTACAAATATTCATTGTATTCTTACATTCATCGGCATCTATATATACCGCATTGCATTACAGATTTGGCAATTCATAAACTAGTTTGATCGAACGCAACTTCGAGCTCTTTAAAAAAAGTTCTTGTATTAATCATTAATTGAAATTGTTCAATATGATGTTCGCTGTTTTAGTACTTCTTTTTGCGGTATTCTATTATTGTCAGGCTCAAGATATCGTTTTCCGCGATGAACCCGAATCGGACCTATGGGAAAAGACTGTTATCCATAAGTAGAATGTCGAAGAGGTAACTCATAGCTACAAATAACTATATCCCAAATATTTAACTTATTTTATTTCCTTGGCCGCCGTATAAATACACAATATACGTCTACGTGTATGTAAATAGGCCAATATGTAAGTTGATTTTGTCTTTTTATAAATTGAATTGGACATGTTTAATGATTTTCTACTATTCTTTTTTTAAAATTGATATTGTTTTTGAATGTTTGGAAAATTATTGTTGAATCCATAACATATACACGTCGTTACGGTCGATGTTGAATTAACCTTTAAGCATAAGCAATCCAATTTTTTCAAAATCAATACTTTTTAGTGAAACATTATAAATAATTGCGATGAAAATGATTCAATTTACACGATTACGATGTGTAACTGATTTCACACAATCGATTCTACATATCAAACAAAGCCATTTTTATCATTTACTCGGACCAAACATAGAATGCAAAAATCTTAATTTACGAATTGTAAAATTTTATTGCTAATATACATAAACATATCGATAATTAACGTCGGTCGAAGTTTATCTCAATAAGATTTGCGTGCAGAAATCTATAGGGTAGTCAGACCAATTAATGATCGGGTACCAGTGAATGACCATTTTGGAAAATATCATATGAAAAACAATTAAAAATATATTTGTATGTACGTTATTTAATTCTTTAGTGAACGATGCATCTTGATTTCCATATTCGATCATAATTTAACAAGGAAAAACAATAGTTATTGCACATCCAAAATTGATTATTTTACTGGACGAAAGCGGTTAATCACTGGTATAAGTACCCTATAGTGTTCAATCATTTTATTTTAAACAGATTCGCTGTTATCGTTGTTTTCTACTGAATCAATGATGAGTAAAAGGAAAGACTTTAACAACTTCAAAATCATTCTAAAAAAGGCTACGAAGTTAATTCGTAACCTATTGCATAGTTAAGTAGTCGCTAAGCTTGCTAATATCATTATGATGCAAATAATTTATTTATTTTTACTATTCGAATTGAATGAGGTCAGCTGTTCCTGTTTTACGTTCATAATTGAAACATCATATGTACTTTGCAGAATTAACAGATGAAACAAACTCTCGAAAATAATGAATTTGTGCAATGCGCATATTATGGATCACATTTACCTCATGGCCTGTGAAACGTACGCGTGAAACATGAAAACATTTGTTAAGACGTGAAAATGTGCAGACCGTCCACGTAAAATATATCGAATATCAACGATTTACAAGCAGTTGAAATGTGACTAACAATACAACAGAGCGCGAGAAATCATTCACGACTCTGGGATTTCATTATACTAACGTTAATTCTAGAGAAAGTGTGAAATTACCCGCAGCTTAAAAATTTTGACTTTGATCGGGTGTCTGATTTAACGCCGACGTCGTTCACTTAGACTTGTTACTATATACTTTTGTGGCGCTTTTCCACCACGCGTGTCTATAATGTAAGTTCTATGGTTATTCAATAAAATGAAATGAGAATTCGCAAATTGGGTGATATCACAGAAAGTATTTAGGAAAATATTTCTTTACTATTCTTTTTATGCAAAATAATTTTTTATGCCATCCAAGCCCAAGCGAACCATTACATTACATTACATTACAATAACCATTACAGCCTCGCTCTTTATAAAAAAATTTTTTTAAAGACAAAAAATTGTATAATTATAATGAAAAATGATCAAAAAGAATAGAATAAAAACAATTATAGAATTTTCAGATTTTTGAATTTTGATTTCAATAAATAAAATTAAAGAATTGATGTATTCAAAATAAAACGATTATAATGAACTTCTTAAACATGCATCGATTTCTAGAAGTGGGGTTTTTAAATTAGTATGATATAAATATAATTGTTATTTTATTTCATCGAGTTACTTGAGTGAAAATTATTTAATCGTACAAATATTGAAAATACATAGTTGAAAAACTGAACAATTTAAAGATTTAAATTGTGGATTTGGCCGTCCAATCAAATTCAATAAATAAAAATTTATCATGAAATTATATGTGGCTACAAGTTATACCCATTCTGGGGTATCTGGATAGACATGAATTGTCTGTCCTGGTTCATAATCCGGATCATCCTCATCTATGAATCGACATGAAATAACAAACTGGAATTAGATTAACGTAATATTATTAAATTTGAAACTCTAAGGAAATAAAATAAGTTAAATATTTGGGATATAGTTATTTGTAGCTATGAGTTACCTCTTCGCCATTCTTCTTATGGATAACAAAATATACTTCCAACAAAGCGCTTATCTCATTGTTATATTTGCATTCAAATCAATGACTCTATTAATTGCACCAAGGTCAAATAACGGACAGATCATTTAACGGTTTATTATTCCACTCGTAATGTGCGCTCATGCCCACGAGCTAGACATTCAAAATTCGGCCTTATAATATAATACATATATTCCCCATTCTTCCAACGAGACGTCACGCATGTGTGCGTACGTGGATGTACTGATGTGAATGAGCCGAGCTTTGACAGGGATATGCATACTTTTTCTCCGGCAAAATATCACAAAGGCCAACATTTATTACGTTTTTGGATAATAAAGCTTTTTAAAATTTTTTATCTTGCGCAGGTTCATAGTGCACTTAATAAAATTGTCTCATCTTCAATATCGAGCAGCCCCAGGAGAGCTTGAGTGACGACCACGTATTATATTCCAAGAGCACGAATTTCTAATAAAATTTTTTAATAAAACTATCAGGATCGTATTCTTCTGGCAGTTTGCATGTATATGATTTGAATTATTCTCAAGACTAGGTTTGAACCATTTCTGCAGACGACGTAACGTTTAATTCACATATCTATATACATCATGCCCATACATAGGTAGACAGCTGCGTAGCATGCTGTTTGTTATTCAATTCTCGTGCCTAAATTATCTGTATTATACGTTTGGTGTATGAAACTGAGTAAGAGAGGGAGAGAGAGAGAGAGAGAGCATAATTCACGATGCCTCGCGTCGTTTGCAAAATCAATCCCCTGCGCTCGTTTGAATTATATCGGCTGTTAACGTGATACATTTGCCGTTAATCAAGAGTCTGTAGCTTCAAAAGCTATGGATACATTGACTCGCATATACGTATAATATCGTCAGTTTCGAGTGATGCATTCACTCGTAAGATCTTCAGATGATGCGCACTACACAGCAAATTATTATTTATTGCGCATAAAAAAGCCAGCAATTTACGCATTGGCAACGTACATACCGATGAGACGATACGCGATCTTCTCGTTTCAAGGGAAAAATAGGGAGGGGAAAAAGGCA